GAGAAAGCAACCTAAGACACTGAATACCAATCCTAGTAGTTTTTACTGGCCCCGACAGTCACAAATGGAATAAACTATTTTTAGACAGTTGTAGGTAAAGGTTGTTGGTGTACAGTGTGGGCATAGAAAGAACAGAAAAGCACTAAACTGTATTTAGTGGGCGAGTGGAATATTAGTAGCCACAAAGGGTTTCCTCTGAGGCTCAAACACTATTAACTAACCATCTTCAGGTTATCATAATCACAGGAGAAAGATGCTGAAGGCAAAAAAAAAAAAGCATGCTCGCCTCTCTTACCAGATATTATTTTCAGTTGGGTGGTGCATTGGATAGACTGACTCTTCAGCTAGCGTGCCATTACTCAGATTGTTGTCACAGAATGCTTAAAGGGTAGGCCATTCTCATGTCTCTTCTCCTTTAGAAATAGTGAGCTAGACTCCTGTTTTCACTAAGGCCATTAAGGATCTGAAACCATAAACAGGCCTTAGCAGTGGGTGCAACTGCAAGGACCTATTTATTGACAGAGCAGTGAAGCAGTTTACTGCAAATGAGAATGATGTCCTGCATTTTAGAGGGGGCAGTAACAAAGAGATTTACTTAAAATGATTAATTATAAATTATTTTTACAGCACCACAAAGGAATCATGGAGTTTTGGAGATAAATAAAATTATTAAGTCCTTGGCGCTGAGAACCTTACAATTGGGCCCAATTCTTTCACATTTACCCACTTTCTCTGCCTCAAGCAACAGCATGGCTTCTTGCGCATTAAAAGAGCATCACATATGTAAGTGTGGAGAATCTAGCCATGAGAAAAATCTTTCATAACAAGACAAGAAACAACAATGGTTGGAAGGGGTTATGCAACTCATAACCTTATTCAACCCAGGTAGCTAGCCTTTTACACCGCTTCATAAGTTTTAAATGTCATTGGCTAGGTGGTTTATATTACCTTGGCCTTTCACTTTATTGAAAGACTCCTGTGTGAGCACCTCAAAGCAACTAAAAGAATTGTCATAACTCTTCATTTAAGAGAAAAAGAAATATCTTAGCACTTAGAGGATGTGTCACCCTGAGTAATAACTCATATCTTCATCTCTTACAAGTCTGGCAGTAAGCTTAGATTTATATGCATGGATGATAACTCAAACTTTAAAGAAAATTCCTATGACTGACATCACTAGGAAAGGAAAAGTTTAATATAGCAGTACGTATGTCTTAGATTTTTATAACAAATATTTATGCAGGCATTGCTATATAATATTTCAAAGCTTTTGTGACCTACTGCACTATTACAGAGAAATATTTTATACAGGCCAGAAAGACTGGGTCTGCTTGTTTTACTTTTTGGGAGGGACTTTTATATTATATTCAAATGTATGTTTCCATCTTCTAGAATTCATTACTCCTATCTAAATTTATGTACATATGAACACTATTGAACAAATACAAATTAACATCTAAACAAAATGTTCTCCCTCTTTTCTATAAAAGTATCAAATAAAAATGTGTGAATTGACCTTAAGTTTTTAAAGCAGTATTTATCTTTTAGCACTGTCTAAATGCTGAGGCAACTGAAGGGTTCCCCCCCTCCCCCCATCACCAAATATTCCTTTGACATAACTTGATTCCACTTTTAATGGAAAAGAATCCAGTTCATGGAGGTCTTCCTTCTAAAATGAACATTTTTTTTCTTTAATGTTAAAATTCATGCAAAAAGCATATGATTATGGTATTTATGTTTCCATTAAAGTGTCCTCAGCAAGCCGAGGGAGTCTAGCCTACTATTTTCAAGCTATTTAGATTTACAGCAGCACAGTGCCTATTTTATTTCAATTATATTTGAGGACAATGCACTCTTGGTGGGAAATGATTACATGACGGCAGCCAGGAAATGTCCATTAGGAGTCGTCTTTCTATAGTGTCCAGCTTTGGATGTCAGGCAATAGCTATAAAAACCCTATGGTGTAGCATCATTGTCATCTAAATGAAAAACATTATTGATCACCAGTACGTTTTCTTCTGTATGATGCAAACATGCTAGAGGTACATTTCTCAGCTAAACTAAAAGCCTTACCTACAGGAATGCAATTCCCAAGATACCTTTTGACCAAACAGTGTAAAATAGACATTGGTTATAAATGCCATCTAGATTTCTCTTTGCTAATGTCTAAAATAAAAGATATCATATGGGGAAAAAAATCTTAACAGCACAAACTGCTTGTGCAACCATTAGAACATAGTATGGAACTAATATAGCAATGACAACTGATGTATACTGCAGCTGAAGTGAGAACCAAACTGTGTGGTTTTTGTTAGAGTTTCAATTTTCTTCATTGTCTGAACAATAAACTCCTCCTCTGCTAAGAAAAAAACATGTTCCAATTCCTTAAGACTTAGATTACAAAGCATCCTGTTTAGTGCTACAGGAGACTACAATTATTAGAATTTAAAACGTGTTTTGGGAATCACTGAGCCTTGCTATATACAGACAGTACTGCAGGCTTAACATCTATAAGGATTTCATAAAAACTAAAAATGAAGAACTTCACACTGTCACATTATATATTTCAGTCGACTGATGGCACCTTTCTTTGTGAAAAGGACAGCAACCAGTACCCGCCTCACTGAATTCCTTTTTCTTCAATCGCAGTATAATTCTGCATGCAAAAGCAATTCCTAAGCAATCTGAAATCCATATGAAACTATAATGAGAAAAAGTTCTGATTTATAGAGAAGCTGTTCATGTACATATATGAACAGCTTATATCATATTATACAGAACTTCTGTAGCCAAAACTGGTAAGATTAAAGTGGTATTTAGGAAATGAGAAACCTTAACTTTTACATGAATTCTGATCAGTTATTAGGCAAACATCTCTTTCTATTTTGCTTTAGGTTGGCATTATACAATGCATTTCTATTTTATTTTGGGAAAGCTGTTGACGCATGGTTTAAGGAATAATGGTTTCTTTGGCTTTTCAATGTGCTGCAGAAATTATCAGAAAAACTAACAATCCTTTGCATGTGCGTGCACACACACACAAGAAAAAAGAATCCTAGATTTTTCATAGCATACTTATTAGAAATTAAGATACAAATAACTTTGGGGACAACTTTGCCAGAACAATACTTTGGAGAAATCCCATGGCTACTGTCGCTTCAGCATCCTTAAACTTAAACAGAAACCATTTTGTTCAGAATGGTGATGAGCAACTCTCTGTTTACAGGCCCTTCCCTTGCTTGTTATCATTTATATGGCATGACATAGTCAAAGTTACACCACTTGGTGCTTAAAGTTGAAAATAACAAAAAAAAAAGCTTAAGGATATTAAAGAAAAACAAACCTTAGCTGAGGCCCC